GAGTGGAGTTGGAACCAACATGGCTGCAATGTATGGCCATAATTATGATATTGATGTGAAGCCACTCTACAGCTGGTTCATTGATAGTACATGTGTACTCCAGTGGGTATTGCGTGGTTTGTATAATGTCCAGTGACTCCCTGCCTCTATTTACATGTACTGTATAACAGAGCAGACTCAGCGGAGGACGTTCAGGTTGGTTGTAACTCTGAGTTTCATGCCGCTAGGCAATCATCAGACAACTGATACTCGGGTCTACCCAACAGTATGCTTATAAACACATGCAGCTCGGGGATCAACGGATTTGTACTGTATAACATGTAATTTTAGGTGTATCAAAATTTCGGTACCAGGCACCTGCCAGGTTTCAGGTGTATTGTGGAATTCGGTGACCAGCCTAACCATCACATACAGTGCATACTCTAGTGCCATTTAGGTGTAATTTTATTTTAGGTGTCTGAATTCTCTACCGAAATCAAAATTACACCGAAAATAACGTGATATACGGTTGTGTCCCCATTGCCTTAGGAGAATTATCTGGACTGTGCTGAGCCAGTATTGGAACACTTATTACTACCGGTAGTGCATTCCAAAAGTCCTAGGGTCTGTCCCTAATGGGGCTAATGAATAGTACTACTAATGAAGCTAATGAAGCCTGTTGAGGGGATGGTGTCGCAGTTGGTAGCTCACTGACACATGCGTATACAGGTTGCGAGCACTGTACATGTGTGTGATGAAAGAAACGTGAACACCCCCCCCCCCCTTAAAACACACACACACACACATACACACACATACACACACACACACACACACACACACACACGTTCTGTAGCCATGAGGCGGGTCTTCCCATATCACGAACACTTGGAATACCTGTGAACGTGTGGGCATCGTACAGTTTAAACTTTAGTGTCGACTGAATTACGGTCACACCAGGTCATTTGGTTACCAGCCATAAGTGTCGTGGTTTTTGTCCCTGGCTCTGTAACGGCTTCGTGTATTTTAGGGATTGCGGTAACCGATCTTCTTTATGGGTGTTTGTGCTTGTATATACTCACTGTATTGCTAAATGGAGAAAGCCGCTGTGCTGCCCAACACCACACGCTAATGACCATTATGTCTGCGGCGTGACCAATAAAATCTGGACTTGCTTATTTAAATCACCAGCTGCGGTGTCCGGTGTCCGATGGATTCTTGTACGCATGATACTCTAAAGTCTTATTCATGGTTTCAGGCCTTTTGTCTAGGAGGGGGGGGGGGGGGGGCCTCCAAATGCTGGATGCCGTGGGACATATTCTGTACCTTCATTAGCATTAAGCTAGAGAAAATGGATTCTGCTCGACCCATGACCTTCACAAAAGCACGCAGTTCTGTGCGTGTGTATGCTCTTGTATCTGAAGCATGCTCTCATCGGAAAGAGGGGTGCCATGTACGTACATACACAATGTGTGTGTGTGTGTGTGCGTGTGAGTGAGTGTGTATGTATTTCTGTCCAGAGGGTAATGGCCTATAGGCTTACGGCCTTAGGGCAGCATGTCACATCTCCCCATATTGGTCAAAGCTTCACTTTTGCCCATGCCAGTGTGTGCACATTTTTGACACCTGCACCTATAGCGGCAATCATGTCCTTCAAAAGGAATGTACTTGCGAAGGCGGTGTGCATGTGAAATTTCGTGCTTTGCAGTGTGCTAATTTCTGGTGTATTTGAATTCCTCTGGCAACCAAGTGACTCAAAATGTGCCCACACTAGCCATTAAGCAAAGAGCAGCAGTGGAATGGATCCCTTGTGTTTGAACTTTACAGCGGTTGGCTTGTGTTAGAAGCTCATTGTAACAGAGTTGATGGGCGCCTGTACGCACATGTAATCAAGTAGCGTGGTCCACTGTGGGAAGAGTGCTCAATACCCATATAGGGCAGAGCCTTGTACACAAGAGAGAGATTGGAAGCCATGTCGCAACTCTGAGTTTGACGTATTACTACGATCATCAGGCAACGTTGCCTGATGATTGAAGTAATCCATGAAACTCTGAGTTGCGACACGGCTTCCAATCTCTCTCTATTGTGTACAAAAATGTATTAATGTGGAATTGTGCTATTTGCATAGGCACGTGTATGCGTGTTTGGGTGTGTGCGTGTGTTTGGGTGTGTGCGTGTGTAGCATGTTGGGTTACATATACTAGTACATAATATTATATGCGTTTGGGTGTACTGTTTACTGGAAAGTCCCAGAAAATGTCACCCTAATCTTGGTCATTGTTCCTGGTACTATACTTACAGAAGAAGCTATTTAAAGTGCTGACGGTGAGGTCCTGTTGTCTCCTCTAGTAGAAGTCAGACTACCAAGGGGATTTTTTGTGGAGTTGTAGAATGATTTGTATTGTTCTCCACTGCACCTGTGTCTGCTTACATGCATGCCGGCGTGTGTGTAATTAAGTGCTGGTACCATGGCCGGCCTTTGCTGTGGCGTGTTCTGCATATAATCATTACCTGGTGTTCATGTACATGTACATTGTACTTGTACAAGCCAGGTCATCCACTAGCACTTGTAGGCGTAATTAGATTTCAGGCACGGTGCTTCAGTGTGTAAATATCCCTCCCCCCCCCCCCCCCCCCCAGTCATGGCAGTTAAAACTGAATGCCTGGATCATGCCTTTGCGCCCAGGAACGGTGTGCGCTGTATAGTACTGGGCTGTTATTCAAACACCCATACAGTGAAGCCCCAGTACAATGTAATTTACTCTGAGTAACATGATATTCTGTACGTTTAGCATAGGTACCGACAACCCTTTGTCCATTGTGTTTCTCAACACAACTGTATAGTCAGTGGGAACGTGGACGTGACAGCTACTCCCAGTATAATAATTATTATAAAAAGTTTACTTTTACTGTACATTCCAGATGAAAAAAAGACGGTTATAGAATGGGTATACTGTAGAATGGGTAATTATAGCGACGTAAAAACCCTAGCGAATTTAGCGATCGACTCCTTTTCGCTAAAGTTTCAAGTCGCTAATCTGTTGAGACATTAGTAGTGCACTGGTGATCCGTGAGTGAAATCGCTGCGAATCGCTAAAATATAACGCCGCTATCCGGTTGACAATGGGAAAACGCTAAAATTAATAGTCGCTAAAATTACCTGTTCTACAGCAATGCATTTGTGCTTGAAAGTAGAACACTGCATCATACAGTATGTTTTCACCAAGGTATGCTATACTGAACTGGTTCTGTTGGAATGTGCTGGTGGTCTTGATTGAGACTTAAAAAACATGGCTTCAGGGGTGTGCACTGTGTTTTGTCTAGCATGTACAAATACATTAAATTTATGTGCACATGTACACCCAATAGTCGTGCCGTGTCTGTACCTGAACACCGGCCTTTCATAATAATAATAATTGAATATTTAGTTCTGTAGAGCACAATGTACACCAAATTACTACTTGTACTAGTAGCTTACTTCCCTGCAGTGTCTGTACACAATACTGTACTAGCTAGCATGCTGTACACGCAACTGCCATGCTTGCTTCTATTCATTCATCAATCTTGTACATGTACATGTTGGGCACTTCAACTCTCTTGTACGGCTAATTCTATTTCAGACATGTACATGTACATATATACAATGTAGTGCGGGTGTGCCGTGCATTCTGTGCGGACATGATGATAATACAGCCAACTGCAAGTCGGTGATCTACATCTGCGGTGTGGTGGCCTTTGTGTACTAGCATGCTCTCAGTCTCTCCTGTACACGTTCTGGCTATTTAGAAAACTTGTAGGGCTTGTAGAGCCAATTCTATTTTAGACATGGCCCCCATCAACTGTGTGTTGTGCTGAGTAAAATGTGAGTTGTGTGGACTGTGGTGTGTATAGCTGTGCTGCCTATGAACCAGGCTGGTGTATTGTTCTGCGCCTGATTGGGTACTTAATTTGCTGAAGAGTCACTATGCCGGGACATTACTCAGCCTGCTAAAAGTGTGGGCCTAGCCCCGGGGCCTCTGTGTGTGTGTGTGTGTGTCTTTGTATGTGCGCCTGTTGCTTTCCGGTTTGATTTTCATATGCCCCAATCACGGAAGGAGTCTGGAGGCTGGGGGGACACTCGTGGAGTGTCCAAGGATGTAGATTCATTGTGTACCAGAATTGTTGTTATCACACACCCTCTTGCACCACTGCATCCAGATGGCTATCAGGTTCTTGCCTTGTTTGGCTTGGGGGCGTGTGGTTGGCTTGCCTACATGCAGGAACTCTGCACGATTCCGTAACTTCCTCTGCCACATCCACTCCATGCATCCTGTACAGATTGTACTTTTCGCAGCGTAAAAACTACTTCTAGTGGCCATTGTTCAAATTGTATCCTGCTGTTGTTGTTCCGATAGGGCTACTTACATTAGTGATTATTTCAGATAGACCCACTTTTAATGTCTGTACTTTTATAAGAACTTTAAGTGCGGTGGGCGATAGAAACTACGAAAAGCAAGATGAAGGACAATCTGCTCTCTCTTGTTATCTTTGGGAATATTACAATTGGCGCGCACCCCGCCCTTGGTATGCAGAGATAACATAGTATAGATATGATGGATATGAAAGCGGTGGGGTGGATGATAGGCGTTACTTAATATCACTGTACAGAAGTGGGAGTAACCCACTGGGAGTACCCAGGCCGATTGCTGGCATTATCAGATAATTTGATTTCTCTAGAACAAAAGGACATTCTCCAGGCTTCCCCCGTGCCTTCTGTGTCACGGCCTGTGTTTGTGTTGCCATAAAGAGACAAGCCCGTGAAGCCCTTTTCGTGTACAATTCTCTTCAGTGTTTGGCGCGTCAAAAGTGTCATGGCGGCAGAAAATGCTGCAACTTGTCGTGTTACCTGGCGTAGGTTTTTTTGATTTTTTGGATGAATTTCATCTGGATGTGAATTTGAATGCACAGACTACTCTAAGGCAAGGTGTACATGTATGAATGCAATTTCGCCTGTGTGCCTTTCTTCTCGATTGCTTTCGTAGCATACATCGGCAAATACCTGAACAACCTAAACCTGTCAGCAGTTCCGCCAGGATGGGACCACTGGTTCGTGCAGCGAGGCAACTCCAAGTAAGAATGTCACAGATTGTCGTCTGTATACCGAATTCATACACAAATGAGCTATTGCAGGCCGAAGAGAGGAGCCATGTGGGCACGGGGAGGGGGGAGTTTCTAGCCCTGATCACTACACGGTCTCGCTTCGTTGCTGGCTGTCATGGAATATGTCACCGTGTGCAAAACCGTCCGGCACTAGGACTAGGAGAGCTTGGGCTTTCGATTGGTCTTATTATGTTGTAGAGCATAGCTGTGGGCACGTTCATAGCGTGAAGCTCGTCGTGTGGAAGCAACGTTCGATTCTGGGGATGGTGTATGAATGTCTATGGATAAAAAACGTCTCCTGCTGTTCAGTATTGATTTTGCAGTGTCCAGTATTATCAGTACTGGTCTAATCCGGTTCTGACTTCCACTGTGGTCTTTTTTTGTTTTTTGTTTTTTGTTTGTTTGTGTGCTCACATTGATTTTTAAGGTACTACAACTTTACCATGGTACGGGGCAGCAGCAACTCTACGCATGGTGGCTTGACCAGGGAGCGGATCACCTACTCCGGCAACGAACGCGTCAACTACTTCACGTCCGTCATCCAGAGAGAGACGGCGCAGCTGCTGGAGAAACTGGTTAGTGATGTCGTCGTGTGCATGGCGACGGTGTAGTTGAGTCCTTCCTTTAGTTTTAGTCTTTCCTCCGGTTTCAGTATTTCCGTCAGTTTTAGTCTTGCTTTCAGTCCGACTAAATCACTTCCCTGCGACCTAGTCTTCTGAACTACTTTGTGCAACCTACTTATGTAGACTAGCTACCTGTGTGAGTTCTGAGGAAGATCCTGTTTGCCTTGCACCCGGTCGGTCGCTTACTGCAGGCGGTATTGTGAAATGTGCAAAACTTATTTTCAGAACTCCTCGTGAGGTTTTTGACCCGAAAGTTATCGGTCGAAGCTCTGTATTGTTGCAGCTACACCTGTTATCTGTTTGGGGGGGGGGGGGGGGGGAGGGGGCATCCGGCATCATCGATAATTTTTTTACGGAACAAACAGGTTTAGTTATGACCCTACCCCACTCACCCGCCCCCTCAACGAAAAATATATTGGCTTGACAATCCAGAATGGATTGCTGTTTTAGATATCAATTTTTTCACAACGAATCTCTTCTCGACCCATCTACCCATAAACGAAACATTTTCGTTTGCCGTAAAAAAATCTTGGGTGACCTCTAACCCTGTGTTGTCTGTTCCCTGTAGGCGTCAGTCTCACCGCAAGAACGCAAGCCAATGTTCGCCATCATCAGTCTGCCTGCATCGCATGGACGCGCCGATGCGGAGCCCCAGTACCGGAGACATTTTGCTGGCGTGAAGGCACCGAGGTACGCCCCAATGACTCCCTTCCTCGGTCCGTGTGTGAGATTGCACTGCACAGATAACTGACAACGCCTGTACTATGCAGTGCTTGGCGAGTGCGTGTGTGTGTGTGTGTGTGTGTGTGTGTGTGTGTGTGTGTGTGAGAGTGAGAGTGAGACAGAGAGAGAGAGACAGAGAGACAGAGAGACAGAGAGACAGAGAGACAGAGAGAGAGAGAGAGAGAGAGAGAGAGAGAGAGAGAGAGAGAGAGAGAGAGAGAGAGAGAGAGAGAGAGAGAGAGAGAGAGAGAGAGAGAGAGAGAGAGAGAGAGAGAGAGAGAGAGAGAGAGAGAGAGAGAGAGAGAGAGACAACTTGTATGTGCATGAGTAGTCCCTACTAAGAAAACACGTTGTGGCGCTGCATGTGTTCTTATCTGTTGCCATAGAAACTGGTTAGTGATGGTGTGTTCATGGCAGCAGTGTTGTGAAGTATGCGAAACTGCCTCTCTCTTTTTCAACCCTTTTCCATTCAAGCTGAATGTATACAGAGAATTGCACCATCTCAAAAGGTGCAGTTTTGTTTTCAACTGCCACCTCAAGTGCATACAGTAGGATACTTAATTTGTTTTGTCTTACGCTTTCCTCACTGTCCAGAACACCAAACTTCAATGTACGCAGCCCGGACAAGCACTGGATCATCCGATTCCGCCACGAGCTGTCCGAAACTGAGCTGAACCTCATCGATTTCAGCTACCGGCGGCGGCTGCAGACGCTGAGGAGCGTCGACGACTTTATGACAAAGGTAACCTTGCTTGCCAGTGTATTAACAGCATGTTGAAGCAAACTTTCACAAAATTACGGAATTTTGAGAAAGTAGACCCATGCTAGTAGTGAAACAGGGTTTTCGTCAATAGTTTTCATTTCCGGTCAAGACGTTGCCGTAGCACCTGAAATGCCGGTACGACGGCAGCCCTGTAAAGCACTCACCCTTTCCCATACTTGTAAAATTCAAAGTGGCGTAAATTGCTTTCCAACTGCACAACCCTCAGCCCCACCCACAGCATCTCACCTTCTCATAAACGTATCTCTTATTGGCGATGGTGCCAGTGTGAGAATAAAGAATTCAACAACAACAAAAAGCTGACTTACCTGCACTATTGTCGCCTGGACATCACACAAGACTCGGCGGAGGACGTTCAGGTTGACCGTAACTCTGAGTTTTATGCAGCGAGGCAATCATCGCTTGTCTGACGATTGCCTAGCGGGATGAAACTCAGAGTTACAACCAACCTGAACGCCCTGCACCTAGTCTGATATGTTCTAAGTTCTGTCTATGGCATTGAGCACTCTCTGCAGCTTGGTATACACGGGGTTTGCTCTCTGCAGATCCCTAATATTTCTGTCTCACTGTTGTCTGTGCTTGCTGTCCGCTTCCACCAGGTTTTCCGGCGCCTCAACCGCTTTCGGCTGCAAAACAACAGCTATGTATTCTTCACGAGCGATCACGGGTTTCACCTGGGACAGTTTGCGCAGCTCAAGGGCAAGAATCAGCCGTACGAAGAAGACACGCGGGTGCCGATGTTCGCTGTCGGACCAGGAGTTCCGAAAGGCAATCGGTATGTTCTCTTCATTAGTGCATGCCTCGAAACCGGTGTAGCGCGTGCACTCAAAGCTGCACCAATCATTTAATCCTGTGAATTTTAAATCAGTTAAATCTGGGTCATCTGGGCCTAATTCTTGGAAACACAATCCCGGGTGGGCCCCCGACCCTCGCTCATTCATGGCCCGCACCAACGCGGAGTACCTTCCAACGCCCCTGATCAGTTCCACAAAATGCCCCCCCCCCCCCCCCCGTGAGCATATAATGTGAAAAAATCTTGACCAGCATGATAAGCCTGTGCGGAATGACGTGCTTTGTACCGTGAACACCCCACACAGCCACCTGGGCATGGTTGCCTGGGGCGTGGAACGGTGCATTGCTGATCCCGGCATGCTCTCATGCATTGCTCATATACGTTCCGTATTCGGCAATTGGCGCAATGGTCTTATTTCTCATTTCCTGCTCTGCCTGTATTATTTCTCCAGGGTGAGACAGATTGTGCTGAACATCGACCTGGCACCGACGTTTGTGGACATTGCCAAGGTGGCGCACCTGAACAAGGACATGGACGGAGCGTCTATCATGATGCTGTTGAGAAAGCTGAAAAAGCAGTGAGTACACCTACCAGTAAGCGGTTGCAGTGTTGTGTCTGACAATACAGAGGCATAGCTCAAGCACGTGCCCTGTATGGGTTCCTGGGTGCCCGAACTCCCCCCCCCCCTTTTTTCGCTCAAAATGCAGGATTTTGCTTCATTTTTGAAAATTTTCCTGGGGAGGTCCTCCCAACCCCCCCCCCCCTCCCCTCCCCCACCCCCTTGAAGGGCACCGGCACGCGCGCCTGTAGCTGGTCCCCTTTTAGGGAGGGGGGGGGGGGGGGGTGGTGTACGGCAGCTGTGTCGTACGTGCAGCCTAGGATGGCTGGTGCATGGCATCGCAATCATTACAGTCACACCTCGCTTAAAACCGCACACATCCGCGTTTTCCACGAAATCTCCGGATAGGCGAGGCAACCGGATAACCGAACACCGGTTATGTTGGATGCATCACGTATGCTATAAATCTGTAATCAGCTATGTGCTTCCGGATGGCGAGGGATCCGGATAAAAGAGAACCGGCAAAGGGAGGTCTGATTCTAGATGCATGCTGAACATACAGTCAAACCTGTGAATAACGACCACCCCTTGGGGCCAGAGAAAGCGGTCTTTAGTGGCAGGTGGTCCTTAGTTAGAGGTTTGCACCTCACAACCATTATATGAATGTGAGACCGTCCGTGCCTGGCGAAGTGGTCTTTAGTACCAAGCTGGTCGCTAGTCACGGTGGTCTTTAGTTACAGGTTTTACTGTAGTACCACGCTGGTCGCTAGGCACGGTGGTCTTTAGTTACAGGTTTTACTGTAGTACCACGCTGGTCGCTAGGCACGGTGGTCTTTAGTTACAGGTTTTACTGTAGTACCACGCTGGTCGCTAGGCACGGTGGTCTTTAGTTACAGGTTTTACTGTAGTACCACGCTGGTCGCTAGGCACGGTGGTCTTTAGTTACAGGTTTTACTGTAGTACCACGCTGGTCGCTAGGCACGGTGGTCTTTAGTTACAAGTTTTACTGTAGTACCACGCTGGTCGCTAGTCACGGTGGTCTTTAGTTACAGGTTTTACTGTAGTACCACGCTGGTCGCTAGTCACGGTGGTCTTTAGTTGCAGGTTTTACTGTAGTACCACGCTGGTCGCTAGGCACGGTGGTCTTTAGTTACAGGTTTTACTGTAGTACCACGCTGGTCGCTAGGCACGGTGGTCTTTAGTTACAGGTTTTACTGTAGTACCAGGCTGGTCGCTAGTCACAGTGGTCTTTAGTTACAGGTTTTACTGTAGTACCAGGCTGGTCGCTAGTCACGGTGGTCTTTAGTTACAGGTTTTACTGTAGTACCAGGCTGGTCGCTAGTCACGGTGGTCTTTAGTTACAGGTTTTACTGTAGTACCAGGCTGGTCGCTAGTCACGGTGGTCTTTAGTTACAGGTTTTACTGTAGTACCAGGCTGGTCGCTAGTCACGGTGGTCTTTAGTTACAGGTTTTACTGTAGTACCAGGCTGGTCGCTAGTCACGGTGGTCTTTAGTTACAGGTTTTACTGTAGTACCAGGCTGGTCGCTAGTCACGGTGGTCTTTAGTTACAGGTTTTACTGTAGTACCAGGCTGGTCGCTAGTCACGGTGGTCTTTAGTTACAGGTTTTACTGTAGTACCAGGCTGGTCGCTAGTCACGGTGGTCTTTAGTTACAGGTTTTACTGTAGTACCAGGCTGGTCGCTAGTCACGGTGGTCTTTAGTTACAGGTTTTACTGTAGTACCAGGCTGGTCGCTAGTCACAGTGGTCTTTAGTTACAGGTTTTACTGTAGTACCACGCTGGTCGCTAGTCACAGTGGTCTTTAGTTACAGGTTTTACTGTAGTACCAGGCTGGTCGCCAGTCACGGTGGTCTTTAGTTACAGGTTTTACTGTAGTACCAGGCTGGTCGCTAGTCACAGTGGTCTTTAGTTACAGGTTTTACTGTAGTACCACGCTGGTCGCTAGTCACAGTGGTCTTTAGTTACAGGTTTTACTGTAGTACCACGCTGGTCGCTAGTCACGGTGGTCTTTAGTTACAGGTTTTACTGTAGTACCACGCTGGTCGCTAGTCACAGTGGTCTTTAGTTACAGGTTTTACTGTAGTACCACGCTGGTCGCTAGTCACGGTGGTCTTTAGTTACAAGTTTTACTGTAGTACCAGGCTGGTCGCTAGTCACAGTGGTCTTTAGTTACAGGTTTTACTGTAGTACCACGCTGGTCGCTAGTCACGGTGGTCTTTAGTTACAAGTTTTACTGTAGTACCACGCTGGTCGCTAGTCACGGTGGTCTTTAGTTACAGGTTTTACTGTAGTACCACGCTGGTCGCTAGTCACGGTGGTCTTTAGTTACAGGTTTTACTGTAGTACCAGGCTGGTCGCCAGTCACGGTGGTCTTTAGTTACAGGTTTTACTGTAGTACCAGGCTGGTCGCTAGTCACGGTGGTCTTTAGTTACAGGTTTTACTGTAGTACCAGGCTGGTCGCTAGTCACGGTGGTCTTTAGTTACAGGTTTTACTGTAGTACCACGCTGGTCGCTAGTCACAGTGGTCTTTAGTTACAGGTTTTACTGTAGTACCACGCTGGTCGCTAGTCACGGTGGTCTTTAGTTACAGGTTTTACTGTAGTACCACGCTGGTCGCTAGTCACAGTGGTCTTTAGTTACAGGTTTTACTGTAGTACCACGCTGGTCGCTAGTCACGGTGGTCTTTAGTTACAGGTTTTACTGTAGTACCAGGCTGGTCGCTAGTCACGGTGGTCTTTAGTTACAGGTTTTACTGTAGTACCACGCTGGTCGCTAGTCACGGTGGTCTTTAGTTACAGGTTTTACTGTAGTACCACGCTGGTCGCTAGTCACGGTGGTCTTTAGTTACAGGTTTTACTGTAGTACCAGGCTGGTCGCTAGTCACGGTGGTCTTTAGTTACAGGTTTTACTGTAGTACCACGCTGGTCGCTAGTCACGGTGGTCTTTAGTTACAGGTTTTACTGTAGTACCACGCTGGTCGCTAGTCACGGTGGTCTTTAGTTACAGGTTTTACTGTAGTACCACGCTGGTCGCTAGTCACGGTGGTCTTTAGTTACAGGTTTTACTGTAGTACCAGGCTGGTCGCTAGTCACGGTGGTCTTTAGTTACAGGTTTTACTGTAGTACCAGGCTGGTCGCTAGTCACGGTGGTCTTTAGTTACAGGTTTTACTGTAGTACCAGGCTGGTCGCTAGTCACGGTGGTCTTTAGTTACAGGTTTTACTGTAGTACCACGCTGGTCGCTAGTCACGGTGGTCTTTAGTTACAGGTTTTACTGTAGTACCACGCTGGTCGCTAGTCACGGTGGTCTTTAGTTACAGGTTTTACTGTAGTACCACGCTGGTCGCTAGTCACGGTGGTCTTTAGTTACAGGTTTTACTGTAGTACCAGGCTGGTCGCTAGTCACGGTGGTCTTTAGTTACAGGTTTTACTGTAGTACCAGGCTGGTCGCTAGTCACAGTGGTCTTTAGTTACAGGTTTTACTGTAGTACCACGCTGGTCGCTAGTCACAGTGGTCTTTAGTTACAGGTTTTACTGTAGTACCAGGCTGGTCGCCAGTCACGGTGGTCTTTAGTTACAGGTTTTACTGTAGTACCAGGCTGGTCGCTAGTCACAGTGGTCTTTAGTTACAGGTTTTACTGTAGTACCACGCTGGTCGCTAGTCACAGTGGTCTTTAGTTACAGGTTTTACTGTAGTACCACGCTGGTCGCTAGTCACGGTGGTCTTTAGTTACAGGTTTTACTGTAGTACCACGCTGGTCGCTAGTCACAGTGGTCTTTAGTTACAGGTTTTACTGTAGTACCACGCTGGTCGCTAGTCACGGTGGTCTTTAGTTACAAGTTTTACTGTAGTACCAGGCTGGTCGCTAGTCACAGTGGTCTTTAGTTACAGGTTTTACTGTAGTACCACGCTGGTCGCTAGTCACGGTGGTCTTTAGTTACAAGTTTTACTGTAGTACCACGCTGGTCGCTAGTCACGGTGGTCTTTAGTTACAGGTTTTACTGTAGTACCACGCTGGTCGCTAGTCACGGTGGTCTTTAGTTACAGGTTTTACTGTAGTACCAGGCTGGTCGCCAGTCACGGTGGTCTTTAGTTACAGGTTTTACTGTAGTACCAGGCTGGTCGCTAGTCACGGTGGTCTTTAGTTACAGGTTTTACTGTAGTACCAGGCTGGTCGCTAGTCACGGTGGTCTTTAGTTACAGGTTTTACTGTAGTACCACGCTGGTCGCTAGTCACAGTGGTCTTTAGTTACAGGTTTTACTGTAGTACCACGCTGGTCGCTAGTCACGGTGGTCTTTAGTTACAGGTTTTACTGTAGTACCACGCTGGTCGCTAGTCACAGTGGTCTTTAGTTACAGGTTTTACTGTAGTACCACGCTGGTCGCTAGTCACGGTGGTCTTTAGTTACAGGTTTTACTGTAGTACCAGGCTGGTCGCTAGTCACGGTGGTCTTTAGTTACAGGTTTTACTGTAGTACCACGCTGGTCGCTAGTCACGGTGGTCTTTAGTTACAGGTTTTACTGTAGTACCACGCTGGTCGCTAGTCACGGTGGTCTTTAGTTACAGGTTTTACTGTAGTACCAGGCTGGTCGCTAGTCACGGTGGTCTTTAGTTACAGGTTTTACTGTAGTACCACGCTGGTCGCTAGTCACGGTGGTCTTTAGTTACAGGTTTTACTGTAGTACCACGCTGGTCGCTAGTCACGGTGGTCTTTAGTTACAGGTTTTACTGTAGTACCACGCTGGTCGCTAGTCACGGTGGTCTTTAGTTACAGGTTTTACTGTAGTACCACGCTGGTCGCTAGTCACGGTGGTCTTTAGTTACAGGTTTTACTGTAGTACCACGCTGGTCGCTAGTCACGGTGGTCTTTAGTTACAGGTTTTACTGTAGTACCACGCTGGTCGCTAGTCACGGTGGTCTTTAGTTACAGGTTTTACTGTAGTACCACGCTGGTCGCTAGTCACGGTGGTCTTTAGTTACAGGTTTTACTGTAGTACCACGCTGGTCGCTAGTCACGGTGGTCTTTAGTTACAGGTTTTACTGTAGTACCACGCTGGTCGCTAGTCACGGTGGTCTTTAGTTACAGGTTTTACTGTAGTACCACGCTGGTCGCTAGTCACGGTGGTCTTTAGTTACAGGTTTTACTGTAGTACCACGCTGGTCGCTAGTCACGGTGGTCTTTAGTTACAGGTTTTACTGTAGTACCACGCTGGTCGCTAGTCACGGTGGTCTTTAGTTACAGGTTTTACTGTAGTACCACGCTGGTCGCTAGTCACGGTGGTCTTTAGTTACAGGTTTTACTGTAGTACCACGCTGGTCGCTAGTCACAGTGGTCTTTAGTTACAGGTTTTACTGTAGTACCACGCTGGTCGCTAGTCACGGTGGTCTTTAGTTACAGGTTTTACTGTAGTACCACGCTGGTCGCTAGTCACGGTGGTCTTTAGTTACAGGTTTTACTGTAGTACCAGGCTGGTCGCTAGTCACGGTGGTCTTTAGTTACAGGTTTTACTGTAGTACCAGGCTGGTCGCTAGTCACGGTGGTCTTTAGTTACAGGTTTTACTGTAGTACCAGGCTGGTCGCTAGTCACAGTGGTCTTTAGTTACAGGTTTTACTGTAGTACCAGGCTGGTCGCTAGTCACAGTGGTCTTTAGTTACAGGTTTTACTGTAGTACCAGGCTGGTCGCTAGTCACAGTGGTCTTTAGTTACAGGTTTTACTGTAGTACCAGGCTGGTCGCTAGTCACAGTGGTCTTTAGTTACAGGTTTTACTGTAGTACCAGGCTGGTCGCTAGTCACGGTGGTCTTTAGTTACAGGTTTTACTGTAGTACCACGCTGGTCGCTAGTCACAGTGGTCTTTAGTTACAGGTTTTACTGTATGTTGATTTTTTTAGAGGGATGTAGGTCATTTGAATGTCTACAGCATTGGGTATCGATTAATTATAAGGGTGGAACTCCGAGAAGACCTACACCAATGGGCATCGAGAGCGTGAGGATCAAACGTGAGGGTCCCTGGCTCGAGTCCTGGTGGTGGTGACAGGCAATTTTTTCTCTATTTCAACTCCCTCAAGCCGATGAATATTTGTGTGTTTCGGTCTGTGTGTGTTTCTCATGTTGCTCAGGCGTACTCGTCCCAAGATGTCCTTAGGCTGGCGCACGAGTTTCTTGATCACCAAGTTCAAGCATAGTCAGCAGAATTACGAGGACGACCATCTCTTCCTCGGCCGTTGGGGAAAGAAGTCACCGCAGGGCAGAACGCCAAGCCTTGAGCAAGCGCCCGCACGACGCAAGAGGATACGCGATCCGGGCGAGGTGAGCGATGTGCGCTTGAACTCGCACTACCAGCTGCCACGCCAGCGTCGCAACATCACCGTGACGACCAACACGACGGTGACGATGCGGGCCGCCATGGTGGTGAAGCTGGTGCGCTGGATGAAGCACTCCGGCTGCCGGCCCATACAGCGCTGCACGCTGCAGTACCTGCGCGCCGAACGCATCAGCAACCTCGCCGACGAGGTGGCCGACGGCGGTCCGTCGCCACGCCAACGGTCTCGCCGCGCGGTCGTCCCGGCGCCGGTGTCCATGTACGACAGTCAGATCCTATCGCTGCTCAGCGAGCAGGAGGCGTGCAACTGCACACCGCCCGCCCTGGAGAACGCCTGCACCGGGCAGCAGGCGGTCGGCTGGAAATGCAATCGGTACGCGCCGTGCCGTACGCACCACTTTGAGTCTGAGCGCGAGCAGCGACGCTGCCAGCGTGCCAAGGACTGCAAGAAGGAGGGAATAAGCTGCCAGCTGATCACTCCCCGGCATTGGAGAACGCCACCATACTACACAGGTAAGCCGCAGGGTGAACAGAGTGAAATCTAGCTGTGAAGGCAGCTACTCTAGTAAGCCGACCACCTGCCTCGGACAAGGGGGCCAACTGAGCACCGAGACAACATTTTGAAAGCTCCAGTGAGTGGGAGTGCGCCATCAGCGGGGGTAGGGGCATAAGAGTAGGGTGCGACACCCCCCCCACCCCCCCCCCACCCCCCCACCCCCTGATCCTTTGGCGATCAGTTTGGGTCATGGGTTTATGGTCCTGCCCTGTACTCCACTGTGGTCCTTTTGAGTTTGGGGCGATGGGGGGGGGGGGGAGGGGGGGGGGGGCAGTCGTGAAGACGTACCTAGCACCACACAATGTGGCTATTGTTACAGTCCAGGTGCTTAGCAACCAAACTGTAGGAAAACCCAATAGGATTGTGAGTGTGTGGCTTGGTCTATGTTTCCTTGACCTGCGTGTACAGGCGGTGACGTGTGCCACTGTGCCAACACTCGTAACAGCAGCTACTGGTGCGAGCGGCGCATCGACGAAGATGACGACTACCTGTTCTGTCACTTTGTAACCGGCTTTGGCGAGTTCTTCGACATGAGACGGGATCCGTGGCAGGTACGGCTATGCTAGTGCTGGTTCTGGGTGATATCTTGACTCCTATATCTTCTGGAGCATAAGCCACACTGGAGTATAAGCTGCACGCCCCCCCCCCCCCCCCCCTGGCTTTTGCCACCAAGTACAGACACTTCTTAGAACTCGCTCCTGAGTCCATTTTATGTGTCGGTTTAATTTTGATGACGTTGCGTGTCTCTGTGCGTCTCTGTGCGTGTCTGTCTCGTGTGTGTCTGACTGCGTGTCTCTGTCTGTGTGTCTCTGTGTGATTTCTTTTACTCTTACTCAGATGAACAACAAGCACAGCGAAATCGAGGCACGTCCGTCCGTGTACAACCACATCATGAGACGGCTGTCCTATCTGCGCACATGCAGTGGCCACCAACAGTGTTCAAGTGGACAGTTTGCTATGACGTCTTCTGATCCATTCTGGACGTCTAGCCGTCTCGATTCCGTCGAGGAAGCCTCTAACCAGTGAAAGTGAGGGATTGTTATCGCCAGTAGCGCAGCCATTAGAGTGGGTGAGCGATTGTTATCGCCAGTAGCGCAGCCATTAGAGTGGGAGTGATTCCTAGAAACTCTATTTCTCTAGCTACAGCACTGGTATGCCCGCATCGGAGCAGGTGGATCGACACATCCCGTACACTGCTCGTGGGTACAGGAATCTACCCCCCCCCCCCCCTCCCACACACACACTCAGCAGGAGCATGGTTAATCTGTGTTCTCGCCCGGTACGCGCGCACGTATCTTGCATGTTGGTGCGTGTGTGTACGTGTGTGTGTACGTGTGTGTGTACGTGTGTGTGTGTACATATGTGTGTATGTGTGTGTACATGTGTGTCTGTGTGTGTATGTACGCGTGCGTGCGTGTGTATGTATGTGTGTGCATGCGTGTGAGCTTGCAGCTAACAATAACTGTTCAATTTATCTGTACATACGGGTAAATACAATAAGACCTTGACACAGCCTTTGTAAACATGTTCTTGAGTATTCCGCCCATACTTCTAACCTGTGACCGCTGGGACTCCCAATCTCACAGTGTCTCTCCCATTTTTCCCACGCTTTCCCTAGACATGTAGATAGGTATGTGGGTTATAAAGACACCACTTGTACATTGACTTGAGTCGTTGCTCCCCTTGTAGCATGTATTCTGTTCTGCTTGCTCCTGCAACTGCTGCCGCTATTCATGCCTGGGTGAACCTAATTTCTGTTTGAGACCCGCCGACAGTCTAGATTGCCGAGCACTCTAAACTCAGCGTAGTATATACCTCTAGATTGTAACCAGTGCAGGCAAAGACACTGCTCAGGCCTCCCCACGCTCCTCTCCGGCGCAGCAATGTGGATGTCCTGCTCTTAGTGACTACATGTATACTCTACCCGTGGTCTTGGCAGCCATGACAACGGCGAGGACATTGCCAAACATTTCTTGGATACCTTGCTTTCGTTTTCAGCTCTTGCTTTCTCCTTCCTTTTTTTCCCTTGCCTTGTAATGCTGTGCTGTAAAATAGCTCCATCACGCGGCATTCTTTGCGCAACATCGAACTTCCACGTCAATGTCCATATTTATCGCTCAGGTCTATTTATCACGTTCCATGCAAAGGCAATAAATAAGTATTATCTTGGTGCTTGCGTTTTGTTTTCTCTCTAATTCCGTCAAACCGCCGCTATACTGAATCACCATAAGTTAAACTATCTTTAGCTGCTTCCTTTGATCAGAATAATACTTTATAGTGATCTATATCTGACCCGCAAAATATGAATACTATAATTTCTTTTGCCATGAAACTCTGAGTAAC